ATTAGTCTCATTTCAGTCTTACATTAGTCTCTCTTCAGTCTCACATTAGTCTCACTTTTAGTCTCATATTAGTCTCATTTCAGTCTTACATTAGTCTCACTTCAGTCTCACATTAGTCTCTTATTCTCATATTAGTCTCATTTAAGTCTTACATTAGTCTCACTTCAGTTTACATCAGTCTCTAGTAAGTTCTTTGTTAGTTTTAGTTTTGTTTGTTAGATCTTTACTATTACTATTTATTTACTATTAGTTTGTCTTGTTGTTTTAGTTTCCTATGATAATCTTGCATGAGAAACGCCAATAAAATTAGAAAAGTGTACAGTGTAACCGCAAGCTAATATGCTAATTTTGCTGTTTAAAACATTTTCTGACAAATCTGGCAATTTTAATAAGCCATGTTTTTTTATGATCTGAAACATGCTGTGACATATAATGCAATTAACATCAAGCGCACACAAAACATTTGTGTTGGTGTTGATTGAGAGAGGCACATGAGCTTAAGATGATTTGCATAACATATTTCCCACATGCCAGAAGTTTCAGTATTGCTTTGAAAAAATCGTTTAGGCTTGCCATTCATTATAAATGTTGTTTATAAGGAATGTCTCTATAATTTATGTTTACAGTTAAATACAGTTAAATTTAAAGGATTTGTTGTGGAGTGAGAGGAACTAAAATACATGTTTGTAATGTTTGAAATCATTTTTTTATTTTCCGGTATTTTACATTATTTCTGAATGTAGTAATAAAATATGACAATGTTTTGTTTTGTTTTTCAATGCAAATTTTGACCCAGTGCAACGTATATTCAGCTCAGCTGTGGCTTATTTTCCTCGAAAGAACTGTAAAATTATCTGCAAATTATCTTAAGACGTGACTGATAGGATTTGAACCTCAAATCACTCTTACTTCACTGTGCAGTTTCTTATAATGTGACCAGCTAACTGGCCAGTGCTTTAGTGTTTTATTTGCTGACCACAGCTGATTTGTTCAACCTCTGGTGAATGTGAATTATGGCTCAGAGTGAATCTACAGATGGTTTGTATGTCGATCTGTTCCTGATGATGTTTGTTTGTGCAGATGTTTCTGTAGTGTCCACTCCAGTGTCAGCCTTCTACACGGGCTGCATGGACGTGCGGGTCAACGGTCGGCTGCTGGACGTGGACGAGGCCCAACACAAACACAACGACATCCGCTCTCACTCCTGCCCTCTGGTAGATGCACAGCAATAACAGCAGCTGAAACTCCAGCGAAGTGCTTTCCACTGCAGGAGGAGCTTTAATCTGGATCCAGTCAATGGATCCACAAAGGCCTTAATAAAGCCAGATCCCTCGCCACACTCACATCATGCACATATAGCACAGACCCGCGTATCAATGTATTACTCACATTAGACCAATCAGACACAAGCTACTGAGAGTGTGCTGTAAAATACTGTAACTGTACATATGCCACTGTAAAATGCTTTAGAGGAGGAGGAATAAAAACACCCAGCTACCATTAAAGGCCTTCAGGCCTCAATGTAGGTGCTCAACTTCATCATCGTCATCATCGAGTAGTTTGAGTTGGAGTTTTTCTAGTCCCTTGTTTGAGTTTGTCTTTTTTAAACTTGTTTTTATTGTTGAAGTTGTTTTGTATTTCGTTCATGTTTGCTCTGTGTGTGAGACTGAAATGCTTGATGAAAACTAATAAAGGCGGATGGTGTTGTTATGATGATGAATTCTGTCCTTGAAGTCCACAGATGTTCAGCGGCTCACAGAAGCAAAACCAACCTGATGAGTATTACTTCACACTGATATTTTGAGCTGCAAAGGCCAGAAGCGCACGACGCTAGTGCAAAACCACTTAAATCACAAAAACATTAAGGCAAGACACTACAAGCAAAACCAGTTGTTGTCTAGTTTGCATCCATAACACACCTTCTTTCAGACCATACAAAGTGTTTATTGTACTATATCTATTAGTGTCTGTAGATTTCAACTCCATTCCATATCTATATCTCTTACACCAAACTTCAGTTTTATTCCAATCTATATTCTAAAGTCTTTTTATTGAGGCGTTTATATATCATTCACACTCATTTTGATTTATAAAAACATGGTGAAAATGTATTTGTTTTCTGTCTGTTGACAGTATTTTCTGATTTATGGAGCAATAAAAAGAGAAAACCAAAATCCCCTCTGGAAAAAACCTTTAATATGTCAACCAAATCAAAGAGTTTTGATCCTGGCTTTATCCAATGTTTATGTAATGTATGCAAATTAATGTACATTTAATTAGATGATGCCTCATTTGAATATTTAAAAAGAACATTTCAGAAAAAAATGTTCCTGAACACTTTACAAACACCAGTTTTTTCTCATTTATAGTTTTGCAGTTTAAAGGAAACATTCTATTTTGGGAAAATAATTTTGTCTAAGGTTTTATTGAAGGTAACATTACAGAATGAGAACCTAAAAATAATGAAATAGCAAATTAATTTTGTTAGGTAAAAAGTGGTGGTCTTGTGCAGTAAACACTTGGACAATGTAAATACTGAAATCTAGGGGACAATTGTTCATTGAACTTTCACATTGTGTTTTCAAGTTTATGCATTTCAGAAGTGCATGACAAAGCAAACTCCAGTGCCATTAAATAATGGACTTATTCTGAAGAGTTCAAACGAATAGTTCATGATTAAGCTGCTATGCTTTTAAGGCTTTTTTAAAAAAGCATTTAATTTATTATAGTTACTTACAGAAATGTTCAAAAGATGAAAGGGTTAAGTATTTTTCTTGATTATAAAACAAGCTTTGATATACTATATTATTGCCTTGTCTAATACAATATATTTCAAACTTTAAACTGGTACGTTTTAACCATATATTCATCTATTTACTCTTAAGCAGCAAGCACTTCATTTTTCAATGTAAAATGTGAGAGTTACAAATGACTAACAGGAGAATTTGCATGGTATATTATGAAAGTAAAATCTGGCAATAGTCGTGTACATGTAGTTAGTGTTATGCTGCCATATGTTTAGTATTTGAAAATACCCAAATACATTCATTAATAATCATTCTTATGAAAATTTAAGACAAGTTGACGGTTATCAACTTATAAATTTATGATTTTTAATAACATTCATCAAGAATTTGAATTCTAAAGTTTTGCTTTAAGATATGTCACTCTTAAAAATAAATGTGCCAAAAGATGGTTTTCACAGTGATGCAAAAAAAATAAAAAATCCTAACTTAAATATTCTTTTGTTTTTCAAGACGAATGTAGCAGTTAGGAAGTTTTTTATTAATAAAGTTTTGTGAATCTAACCACTGGATCATGTGCGTTGTTGTATTACATAAGAACTGAATTTGTAGTTAGGTAGTACAGCTTCTGTTATTAAACCATATGTGACCCTGGAGCACAAAACCAGTAGCTGGGGGATATTTGTAGCAATAGCCAAAAATACATTGTATGGGTCAAAATTATTGATTTTACTTTTATGGCAAAAATCATTAGGATATTAAGTAAAGATCATGTTCCATGAAGATATTTTGTAAATGTCCTACTGTAAATATATTAAAACTTAATTTTTGATTAGTATTATGCATTGAAGCTTATTTATCAGCTTTTAGATGATGTATAAATCTCAATTTCAAAAAATGGACCCTTATGACTGGTTTTGTGGTCCAGGGTCACATATGTGTTATTCAGGAATCTAATATAAACATGCCAACACTTTCTCAGCAGGATTCTCCACAGATTGATCCTTCATCGTGACAATAGCTGATCTGACAGTAAAGCATGTAATCCATGCGCATGAAATGGAGCTCGAGTTTTTGTAATCGTTGTAATCGAGTGTTTCAGCCTGATATGATTCAATAAATCAAACTATGAAGATCCCACTGAAGGAAGCGGATGTTAAAAGCTAAAATTCAGAGGTTTTGGAAACTACCAGAGAACAACATTGATCACATTTGCTACGAGAATAATTCACAATTACAGAGACTCTTTCTGGGGTCATTAGCAGCAGCGCCAGCAGCAGAGGTCACGGGGGTCAGGCGCCCATCAGAGGTCAGTGTTCTTGATTCAAATGTTTTCAGCAGGCGTAGGGTGGAGGCTTCTCGAAGGGCCCTAATGAGTGAGCATAGAGTGAGGGAGCGTTTGGAGTCAGCATGTAGCCACTGCTGTCCTGAGACGTGGATTGAGTCGAAACGGCTGAGTTCGTCCCGCTCTGAGCAGCCGCTTGAGTCTCGTCAGGCGTGGAGGTCGAGACCTCAAGAATGGACTGACCTGTGGCTGGAGCTGGATAACCATTCAGATGCTGCAGGACGAGGACAAAGAAAAAAAAGCATTATGTGTAGACTTTCTAGCAGCTGTTTGTTTAAACTACTTCGAGGTGGACATTATGAAATCTTTACTATGACAAAAGTAACTTTGAACCACAGTCTGACTTTTCCAGGTTTTAAGTGCTATAATCAGGTCCCCGGTGCATCTACCAAAAAAAAATCTACCAATATTTAAATCTCTTCATAGAACAAAACCAACCTATATTTTAATCTCTTAATAGAACAAAACTGACTGACATTCAAATTAATTAATTAATTTAAAGCCAAAATGATATTTAAATCTCTTATTAGAACAAAATTGACTGATATTACTGGAACAAAACCGACCAATATTTAAATCTCTTAATAGAACAAAGCGATTAGTCAGTAGAGATTTGTGTGCTTTAGGCTTTTGGTGTGCTAATTGTAAAGGCGTGCACAGCGACCGGTATTTAAACTGCTTGGCCACTCTCCAAACTCACGAGAAGCGATTAGTCCGTAGAGACAGTGGTAGCACTTAAGTGTTTGCTTAATAGCTTGTTTCTGTTTCTGTTATTTAGATTAATATTTGCTGCTAGGAAGGATTAATTAATTTAATGTTTATTTCCATTTTTCTACTTTCATTGCAATTTGTATTTTTACTGGACTTATTTGTAAATTAGAATATTAGCCGTTGGCTAAGAAGAAACTTTTTTTTATTTGTATTGCTCCTTACTGCACTTAAGTGGCAAACTGTCCCACAGTAGTTTCAATTTGAGCCATTCGCATGCTATAGGCTTTTGGTGTGCTAACTGTAAAAGGCGCCCACAGCTGTTTTCACTCAAGTCGATAAGCTGTGTATTTATTTGTTATCTGTGTGCCGGCACAGAAGCATTCAACCCTTGTGTTCAGCCTCCTCGTGTGAAGACTGACTGGTAAAGATCTGCGACTCTACCTGCGCGACTCCACTGAGCAAGTGGAGTAACTTTTCTTTATTTTCTTGACTGAGACCTGGATTCATCCAGAAGACACAGCAGCCCAACTTCTCTTTCTCTCACACTCACCGTCCGTCAGGTTGGAAGGGGTGGGGGTACTGGTCTCATCATTTCTAACAACTGGAAATACTCAACCCACTCCTCTCTATGCAATAACAATTCCTTTGAATTTCATGATATTACACTAACAACTTCTGTAAAACCCCATATTGTAGTCATTTATCGCACTCCAGGTCCATTGGGCACCTTGATAGAGAAACTGGATGTGCTGCTGTCCTCATTCCCTGAGGATGCAACCCACTTGTAGTCTTTGGTGACTTAAACATTAATCTGGAGAAGGCTTGCGCTACAGACTCCCACTCCCTCTTAGCCTCATTCAGTCTCAAATGGCTTACCACCACAGATACTCACAAATAAGGCAACCAGCTTGACCTAATTTACACATGTAGCTGTTTCAAAGATAACGTTTTGGTAAAACATTTTCTGCACATTTCTTTATTACATTTAATCTACATCTTACTACATGTGATGAATCAGCCCCTCTGCCAGTTGCATTTAGGCGAAAACTGCACTCCCTTTCACCCTCCCATCTTTACTCTGTTGTGACATCATCTCTTCCCTCACCCACCCATTTCTCATCTCTGGAAGTGAACACTGAAAAGGCCACTTTATGCTCCACTTTAACTTCTTGTCTAGACAATTCTGTCCTCTCTCCTCCAGGCCTGCGCGCACTACCCCCTCTAACCCCTGGCTATCTGATGTTGTTCGTGAACAACGGACCAAACTCAGGGCAGCAGAGAGAAAATGGCACAAATCAAAAGATCCATCTGACCTGAGTATGTATCAGCCTCTGCTGTTATCGTTTTCTGCAGAAGTCCATACTGTTCATAGTTCATGTTTCCACAACAAGATCAACAGTGCTTCAGAAACCTTATCAAAACATTCACCTCGCTCCTTTGTCCCCCTCCACCACCCCCTGCCACCTCTTTAACAGTGGAAGATTTAGCTAATTTCTTCACAGAAAAAAATCTAAACCATCAGCATTCAGTTCAGCTCCAAACACACAGGAACTCAAACCAACCACGTCCACTGCTAAAAATCTCCCCTACACTTTTACCAGCACTCACACACATCATTAACATCAATCTCTTCTCACAGGCATTTTCAGGACCGCATTCAAGCAGACTCGGGTAACACCACTGGCTAAAAAACCCCCACTAAACACCTCACATGTTAATGGTTACAGACCTGTCTCTCTCCTTCCATTTATAACAAAAACACTTTTTTGAGTTGTTTTTAACCAGTTATCATCTTTTCTTTCACAGAATAACCAACGGTACGTTAACCAATCAGCTTCTTGTCTTCCCTGCCACTTCGACTCTACAGCACGATTTCACCATCCAGCTAGGTTCATCCACAATTACCCCATGAAGCTCGGTCAGAAATCTTGACATACTCTTTAAATGAGCAGCTGACCTTCAAAGACCACATTGCAAAAACCGCTCGATCATGCAGGTTTGCACTGCACAACATCAGGAAGATCAGGCCCTTCCTAATGGTGCATGATGCACAACTTGTCCAGGCGCTTGTCATTTCTAGGCTGGACTTCCATCATGTGCAATCTTCAAATGATTCAGAATGCAGCAGCACAACT